AAATCATAATAATACAAAGAATGCAATCTAACTATCAAAGGATTATGCTTTTGTAAAGGCCTCTAATTACATAAGATTAAAAAATATATATATTATATGCCTCAAGAACATCATGAATATCAGAATGTCCATAATGTCTCTAGGACAACTTTCCAGTTTATATATACCTCAATTTGCATTTTAAACTATAAACAGTAACTGAAAGTATGGAATATAATTACATAATTGTTCAGGTATTGGCGTTGATACTCTTCCTGTATGTTTCCTCTCATTTTCTCTCCTCATCCTTGACCTCTGTGCATCTTGTATACAAAACTGTATGTAACAGCTTCAGGATCGATGGCTAGTGCCCTTAAAATGGTATGTTAATTGCCTCGTGATCGGGAGTCCTGTAGGAAAATCCTGATTCATCGTTGGACTGCCTCTTGACCATGCTTGCTCTTTGCACTAACCGTACTAGAGCTTGTACAACCTCTGACATAGGAGGGCGAAACTCAGGTTCCGGCTGCAAAGAAAACAAGTATCAGGATGAACCATTCTCTAATTATCAGAAGGATAGCAGAGAGATTCAAGCAAGCAAAAGACATTGTTTGCTTTCATCTTCATATGAGACTAGCTTGTTCCTAGCATCACACAGATTCAAACTTGACAGCTTGTAAATGAAGCAAGCTGTTTATCCTGCTGTCTTTTGCAAACATTTCTTGAGAACTAGTCCACTTGATGATTATTCACTTCACAGAATTTATAGCAAACTATGTCTTGCTTACAGATCTCAAAAAGCTCAGTATGAATTAGCTGAGCATCAGGAACTAAGTTTACCTGAACACATAGAGCAATAATATCTGCAAATCGTGACAAAGACTTTGCAGGATACATGCCATTCAAGGCAGGGTCAACCATTTTTGCTAGTGCATCTATATCATGTAGCTGGGGAGCTGCCCATCTGACGAGTGATTGCTCTGATCTTGGCCTTGAACTAAAGAACAAACAAAAGCAAAGGGAGCAAAAATTAACATATTGAACTTATTGAGAGTTATGCCCACACAAAGACATGGATACGATTATCCAGGGATGCAGAACAGCATTTACCTATCCAGTGGCTTTCTACCAGTCAATAGTTCCAGCATTACTACCCCAAAACTGTACACATCACTTTTTACAGTGTATACTCCTGATAAGGCAAACTCTGGAGCACTATAACCAAATGAACCAACCATCTGGGTTGAAACCTGATCATTATGAGCAAAGGATAAGCACATTAGAATCTGGATCATTTTCATGAAATAGGAGGGCAGAAAAGGAATTTTCATAAAAGCTAGACCCACAGAGAATAAAGGATGCAAAATGGTTACTATCAAGCAGACAGTTCCAAGGCCAATCTTTTACCTGCCGCTCAGTATTTGGTGTTAGAGCAGCTAAGCCACAGTCTGACAAGTGGGGATTGAGCTCTTCATCGAGTAAGATGTTTGCTGATTTGAAGTTTCTGTGTACAACTGAAGGCAAGCACACTTCATGCAAGTACCTGACAAGAGAGCAACATTAGGAAGAGCACACATGCATGAACTTAAACATGCCCACTCATGGGGACTCAAAAATGCCAGACACATATAACATACTCTAAAGCCCGGGCAGTGCCAAGTGCTACTCTAACACGTGCATTCCAACTCAGTGTGTTACTGCTGTCATCCTTAAAGTGCAGCATATCATGAACACTTCCATTCCCTACATATTCATATACAAGAAGACGATGACCATGCTCTGCACAGTATCCAGCCAGTGTAACAATGTTTGGATGCCTCAGCCGTGACATATTTGACACAGCTTCTAAAAAGTTATCTTCCTCTTGTAATGACAATGCTGCATTGTCAATTTTCTTAACAGCCATTACCTAGATCAAACCAATGACAAAATAATTAGTTCATCACTGTAAAGATTCCAAAGTCAGAATTTACGAGGGTATGCAAACAAATGAAACCAAGAAGATAGAATGAAATAAACCATGAGGATTTCAGCTAATAGTCCATGGAAAAAAGCAAAAGAATTCAAATCCAATCCAACCGGTTTACTTGCATCCATTTAACTACTTCTGCTAAAAGTTAATTCATGCCCAAGAATGAAAAATCTATTAGTCTATTTGACCAACACTGTGTAAAACTTCCATGTCAAGTTAAATAATCAATACATTCAAATTGATAACATCATGAAATTTATATAAAATATATTACCCTGCCGTTAGGAAACTCTGCCTTGTAAACACGACCAAGAGAACCTTCACCAATAAGATTATCTTGACTAAAGCTATTTGTTGCTGTTTGAAGAGAAGCAACAGAATATGATGTAGCAGTAGTTCGTGACTTCATTCTCCTCAAGGATCCATTCTTTGACACCCTCTCAACCATCAATTTTTCTGCTGGTAGGGGCTTTAAATCGACAACAGCAGCAACACTTTTCACCCTTGGCTCTTGTATCTCAGCGGTTACTGCTAAATTGAAGTGGAAAATATGGCATCAACATGATAAGCTTGTTGCAAATAAAGTTGTCAGGTCCAACTGAGAAATAAATGTTAGAGGAACTTATATGGGTGAAATGATATGGGCAACTTCAATGAATTGCTTATAGATTTGCTTTCTTATTTTGGATATTTCCATTGAATACTTACTGAACTAGCAGCTTCATCATTTTATGCCATAAAATTAAACACATTTTGACATATCAACTCAGAGAAAAAAGGATTTAAATGACTGAAAACTTGAGCTCTTAACCTAGGTACTAGTTCTTTTTTTGACCAACCCTAAGTACTAGTTCAAACATTAAAAGTTATATTTTGTGTGCCTAACAGTACTTTCAAAGTCATACCGCACCACACTAATACACAAATGAAAACCCCACAATCTACGGAATATGAAATTAGAAACAACCCTTGACCTGCACCTCATGCAATACTGTTAGTTCTAAAAGATTACCTACCTTACTTCTAAAAATAGATTAATTTGCTTAAAGAGTCATGCTTAAAAAATCTTTATCATCCAAAAATGACTAGGCAATTCAAAACAAAGGAACAAAAACTAGGAAGACAGAGTATTCAAAAAAGAAAACCTACATTGATTTGACCCAACTGAGAGACTTCCCATTGAAGCCCGTGCACCAGTTACTTTCCTTTTACCCTTTCGGATGCAAAATACAAGAGCAAGAAGCAGAAGAGAAACCAGAAACAAAGAACCAAGAATTATGCCAACAATCAGTCTAGCTGATACTCCTTTATGTGAATCTGAGGATAGGTCATCAGCAGTTGGGGTTTTATGAGCACTGCTTCCAGAATGAGTGTGATTGGCATGAGTGCCCCCAGGTGGAGGTGGACTATAAGGGGGCAGAGGAGTAGCTGGACCATTTACAAAGGAGTTCCCATCATATCTGTTTTGTTTTCAATAAAAAATCAAGAATACTTCATACATCAATATGAAACAAGAACTGCAAATTGGAATTAAAGGAAACCATGATTAGCCTTACATGAAAGTTGTGATGGAGCTAAATTCTGAAGGAATCCATCCACTAAAATGGTTTTTTGCAACATTTCTGTTTAAACCAGCGTGTAAGTACAGAGTAGAAAAATAAAGCCTCATACTTATTGTGCATGAAAAAAGAACTTACAGTGTATTCAAAGGCAAACCCGTAAGCACATTAAGAGAACCAGTCAATTGATTGTTCTGCAAATAGCTGCCACAAATTTAGAAATTGTCAGCACTCACCAAACTCCACATTTCCTGCCCCCACCCTCACCAGAAACGAAATTCACTCACAGCATAGAAAGATTGCCCAGTGAACTTAAGGAATTTGGAAGATCCCCACTAAAGTTATTGAAGGACAGATCCCTACATTAACAAGCATCAAGCACAACCATCCAAGTGCAATTCAATTAGAAAGATTTTGCAAACATAGACTACAAATTAAGTAGCAGTTATCACCCTCCATCCCTGATTACCAAACCAGAACTTACAAATACGACCAGACAAAGACAATAGACCCACTGGGATTAACAACTTTGGCTCTTCATGTGCCAGAACCTCATAAAGACTAAACTAAAAGATAATAATGAGAAAAGGTAAGTAAGTGAGATCTTACAAGGTCACTAGGCCAGCAAGATTACCAAAAATGTCTGCAATGGACTGGGAAAGTGAATTACCACTTACGTTCCTACAAATAAATATTTAGAATCAGGCAACCTAGAAGTTCACTTTTTCATGCAACTTCACAAGGAACAAACAAAATATCATAGCATTTAAGACAAACACTTACAAGTAAGTAAGAGAAACCATGGTAGAAATGGAATACGGAAGATTCCCACTTAAGTTGTTGCTTGCAAGATTTCTGCATTATTTAACCAATGGCAATTGTCATCAGAAACAACAAAACTATATTTCTTATAGAAACAAAGGATAAACTAGTGAATGACATTACAGGCTTGTAAGATTTGGTGGTAACTGATACGGGATGATATCATGGATGTTATTGTCACTCAAATCACTAGCAAACACAGATTAAACAAGTTAAGAACGCAATGCAAAAAATAATAAGTTGAGTTGCTTAAAAAATCAAGCTGAAACAAATACTCAGGAAGAAAGAATATACTATCTTACAGTGTCTTAAGTGACATTAGGTCTGAGAGCAAGTACCCCATGGTTCCATTGAGTCCTAACCCAGAAATATCGCTGTTAAAACAGCAATAGTCACCAAATTAAACAAACCATAAACCCATTCACCAAAAAGTTAAAAATAAAGAGCAACATTTGCAATATATGCTCTCATACATGGAGACAACGGCTGAGCCCTGGCATGTAACCCCTTTCCACGACTCTACACATGGATCACCTCCACTACTTTCCCAATTAGTTAGCTGTGAGGGGCTGTTTAATGCATTATACAGTACTTGAAGCGATTGAACTGTCCACAAACAAAACAAGTAAGCAAGTCAATCGATCAAATGCAGATTCATTTAAACCCCTCAATTATCCACTCTAATGTACTGCAAGTCAACTTAGAACGCTAAAAATTTAATTAGTGGAATGAAAAGATCACGGTATCAATTACATAGTAGCTCTAGCATTAAATACAAAAGTAAATCCTTCACACTTTCTCTCTTATTTTCCAGCATTTTCTCAGGAAACAAGATCAGCATAAAGGATCAAACTTTCCAGTTTTCCAGAAGAGAAAAAACAAGGGAACAAACAGAGTCAATGGACACTATTAATTAACTAAATCACATCAAAGCCACAAAGAAATCAAGATTAAAAAAAAAAAAAAATCAGAACCCATCAATCTCCATCACTAAACCAACTCGACGGATCAAGAAACCAAAACAAAACAGAAGAAAAAAAAAAATACCATCAGAAGAATCAGTGTTGCATTGCACTAGAGGGAGGGCAGAGAAGAAAGCGAGCAAAACCAACTCATTCAGCAGTAAGCAACTTAGAAATTGAGAAAAAGCTCCGTTCTTGTTCGCCATTGCAGTATCTTCTTCTTGCTCTGGTGGTGAGACGAGTGTTTAAAGGAGGGAGGATCAAGGGAGCGACAGCGCATGAGAGAGGCGGCGGATGGAGAAGGAAGACGAAGAGGAGTTGTTGGGAGGCTCAGTAATCAGAGACATCACCATTAAAAGAGGAGAGAGAGATTCGAAGCTTGGAGGCAGAGAGTAGTAATGGAGAAAGAGAGTGTCGGCGAAAAAAGGGAAGAGTTAAAAATGAAGGAAATAATGAGAACAGGGGGAATGGTTGGGTTGGAGTTGGCAAGCAACGTATGAGTAGGACACTCCTCGCCAGTGTACTTCTTCAGGTATCCTTCCTTTCCCTTTCTCTCTTGGACAGGGATTCGTACTTCGTAGTTTTTCTTTAGTCCCTCCAAATTTATTCTATTATAATTATATAATTTTCATAAAAAATTACTTTAATAAAAATTTTATTTAATTTACTTAAAATGTGAATTATGATAGTTTACATAAATTTAAATTTAACTTAAAATTTTAAACACAACTTTTTGACATCATCAGATTGATAAAGGTAATTTTATTTTATTTTTTAAAAAAAGAGGGCATAGAACAACTAAAATTGAATGAAAAAATATTAATTAACATTTGACTATGTCAATAAAATGTTGTTTTGCAAAGTGTGGGGAAGTTATGACAAGTAATTACTTTGGGGACTAAATTAATAACTTTGAGAAAGGTTGGTGAGGGAAAAGGGAAAATATGATTTTACTTCTTCTTCATTTTCCCCCCATGCCAGTCGCGCCTTGGACTTGCCGACTTGCCGACTTGCCGACTTGCCGACTTGGAGTTTGGTCTTTGCTGTCCTTTTGGAGCTCGGATTCTCTGCGTTGTACCCTACACATTTACTGTAGCAATTATGCAGGGACATTTTCCACGTGTACGGTAGAATAGTGTGAGGGTCAAAATTGTCATGATGGTGGTTAAAAGTAGGGCTAGGCAATTATGCAGGGATTAACTGAACTTTTTTTTTTTTGGGAATTGTGCATGAAGTACAATGGTTCGCTCTCAAATTTTAGGGTTTGGGTGAGACGTCAAGGTTTCAAGCCCTGCTACCGCCGTGAATTTCATTAACTTGGGGTCTAATGGTCATGCGCTTCATTTGAGAGGGTGGAATGTTCACCATTCTGAAAATCTCAGTTACTAACAATTAACTTATACTAACTTTCTAACTATTATCTTGTAAAAAAAAACTGAACTTTTTTTGTTCTTTTTTTAATACCAAAACCAATACTAAAAGTTCCTTATTTCTTTGGTATTGGTTATTAAAATTTTTGGTCTTATGATTTTGGTTTTGGTATTCACCGATTATTTAGTAGAATGCTTTTGCAGAGATAAAAGAGAAATTAAAGAAGATGTTGGACCAAAAACTATGAGTAGATATGAGGAGAGAATGCACAAAAAGAAAGGAAAAAACAGCAGCAATGACTCCAGCAACAAAATACAGCACCGGCAATGCGAAATAGAAAGAAAAAAGAAGACTTGGGTTAGGCCAAAGACATTAAGAGTAGAAGGAATAAAGGATTTTATTTTAAAGTTTTTACAAAAATTTCCTAAATGAACTTAACCCTCGACTGGGATTAAAAAAAAAAAACATAAGATGAAGAGAAATGAGAAAAATAAGTTAAGACAAATAAATAAAAAAAAAGAAGAAGAAAAATTAGTGAAGAAACAAAATGAAGAAGGTAAATAGTGAAAGAAAAGTTAAGGGGATAAGATGAATGATTGCAGTTAAGAAAGAGAAAACTTATGATAAGATTTTTAAGAAGATACAATAATAATAAATTATAGATAAAAATAAAATAAAGTATAGAAAGAGAATGGATTTTTAAATGCTAAATTATAACATGATTTTTAGGAGACATTTGTCAATCAATTATTGAACGGATATTAATATTTAAGATATTTGAAAGAATTTTTTTTTTGTTTTTTTATTAATATATTTCGGTTATCAATTTAGGATTTAGCTTTCAAACACCTAAACTGAAAACCAACCAAATTATTGTCAAGAATAACCAAAACCAATAATTTTATGATGAAAAATTATTTAATCAAAATATTTGATTAATATCAACGATTTAAATAATTTAGTAATTATTTCTTTTTATTGAAAACAAAAAATTTTAAATTTAAATCATATAACATATGAGTAAAGTGAGATAAGAGATGAAAAATAGCTATATCTTATTATACAATCGAGATAAAAAAAAATTATTTAATTAATTTTTAATCGGTTTGGGTCAATGTTTTGGTTCGGGATAATTTTTGCCCACTCCTAGCTAAAAGTAGGAGTAGGCACTAGGGCAGGACAAGGCCAGACAATAAAAAGGGGGTCGAGAGTCTGATAGAGGCTGGCAGACTAATTGGGACTTGCGTTTGGAAGAATTTGTGAAAATGATCACTAAAATGTCCACTTGTGAACCCATCGATGAGTTGAGAGCACTTTTCTTGGACGTCGTTATTATTCCACGCAAAACTATTAGGTCACGTATTTTTTTGAGAATTTGTTAAAAATATTAATTTTTGTTTTTTTTTTTAATTATTAAAAATAATTAATAATTATGATTATTAATTAATAAGTAAAAAAATAACTAATAATTATTAATTAATAAATTACAATTGATAAACAGATTAAAATATCTAAATATTATACAATAAATAATTATTTAAATAAAAAATTTATGTTTATGTGATTATAATCACACATTTTTC